TCAAGAAGCAACAAGCACTTCTCCTCAAAGACCATCGTCCCATCCCATGAACTTGCCCATTCTTCCTATGCAGCCCATGCAGGTTCCATGTAAGGAATTTGTGACTACGCTGCTCAAATTCTTATCATAAAGTACCTTGGCTTCTTGGGGTCTGTGGACATTTTCACAGTGCTATCTGGTCATGCTGCTGTGGGCATAGGGGATCTGTTCCAGGATTGGTCCTTTTATTCGTGCAATCTTTAGGTCTCTAAATTTTGATTTAGTAATGACAAGAGGCAAAATAGTCCCTTGACCTTATCCATTGGGCACCCAGGGAGCAATGTCACTGTCATTTCAAAATACTCACAATTCTTCAGGGGCCTAGAGGTCTGCTCCACGCTCTGCAAACCCAGAGGAAGGTGTAAACCGTCCTTGCTGCTCTCTAGATGAGTGAACTTAGGCTGAATGTCTCAATTTACTCAGTGGTTCTTTCATCTGTAAAATGGGGTAACATGTCTTCCAGATTGTCATGAGGGTGAAATTCATTCCAGTCAACAAATATGTACCTCTGGGTGCCACCCTATGAGCACAGGGTCTAGTGCATGGACTAGACATGGACAAGCATGGACGCAAGCCACTCCCAGCCGGATGATCAGATGAAGAGACTGACAAATAGCTTGTGTGTGTCCCTTCTCCCTCCTTCCTGCCTGCCCACCATTCCATTGCACCCTCTCTGAGACACAGCCTAGGGAGGTGCTGGTGATTCCAAGGTGCTGAGCCATCATTAAGGACTCCAAAGTACTCTGGGAACTTTAATTAGTAATCTCACCAGTTTGGGTTAGAGCACAAACAGCTCCTCAGTCTCCTTTTGGACAGGAGCCCGGGTGAGTCAAGAGCTGTGAGAGGCTGAGGGCTTGGGCTGGGGGTGGAGGGGCTGATTCCCAGGTATGATGGGCCTTGGGCAGGCTGCATATAGGCGAGCAGTGAGCTTTCCAGGGAAGTAGAAAGGTGGTAAATTGAAGACCAGGGGCCCTCTATGAAGGCATTTTGAGGATTTGTAGAATTAGCCCTTGGAAATTACATATTTAACACAGAATAATCATTATTACTTTAAAACTTCTTTATATCACAATTATTTTAAAATAATAAGTAATAATACGATTTTAAAATAAATTAAATGGAGCTGTGGCTCACACCTGTAATGTACTTGGGAGGCAGTTTGAAGCCAGCCTGGGCAAATACTTCACGAGACCCTATTGCAAAAAAAATCACTGCAAAATAGGGCTGGTAGAATGATTCAAAGTGGTAGAGTGCCTGCCTAGTAAGTGTGAGGCCTGAGTTCAAACCACAGTACGGCCAAAAAAATAAAAAAATTAATGACTAAAGTAATAACTATTACTAAATTTTTAACAAAAAACTGTGTGGAGTTACAGGCTATATTTTGTGAATTCCAGGTCAGGACAAGCAAAGGGGAAAAATTAAGCACATTTGTTTATAAAGGGAGTGAAGTGCCTGTTGGGGGTCAAGGCAATCTCTGGGGGCAGGGACACACAAGAGAAACAGCAAAATGGGGCTTGCACAAAAAAAAATGTGTAGAGGTCTGGGTTTTGCAACAGGGCACTGTTCCTAGCACTGAGACTTGCCACAGGAAGTGAGGGGTTTTGCTAAGAGTGCCACATACAGCTTTGCTGGGGCTCAGGCAATGCCAGATCCATCATTCTGAGGTGGCAGGGACCTGGTAAGAAGCAGCAATTTCTAACTAGGCATGGTGGTATACCTATAATCCCAGCACTTGGGAGCCTGAGGCAGGAAGACTGCAAGTTTGTGGCCAGCTTGGGCTACATCCTGTCTCAAAAAAAGCAAGCAAGCAAATAAACAAAAACACCATTAGTTTCTGAGGATTCTGACTGCTTTCCTGGCCCTGCATTCTTTTCAGACTGGTGGACTGACACCTGCTCAGCCACAGCCAGTGCCCCGTCCATTTGCAGGGGACTTTCCCAAGGCTACCCTGGGAATAACCTCTCCTTGGGGGTGAAGAGGAATTTAAGGAGAATGCACCCAGAGCACAAATTTGTAACAAATATCAGTTATGAACTTCAAACTTATTCAAACTCCTGTGAAATGTTTGTTGAATATTATGGGACGGACTGTCACAGTAACTTTGCCCTATGTCCTCCCAAGCCATTCTACCTTGGTGGATTATAAAAAATCTGTTACTAGCTGCCTTTACTTTCAGTTATTGCAGCCTGGGGAATCTGAGATGTGTGTAAAGTGTTTTAAGACTCTTGAAAAACTGGGAGCCAGATCCCCTTACCACTGTGGACAGCACAAGCTCCCCATGGACCCCCTATGTCTGGTACCATCTTAACCCAACTTCATTTGGCAAGCTCTAAGAGGTTTAGAGTCCTGAATTGGACTGTGGGGGGAGGCAGGTAGCTCAAGTGGGAGAGTGCTTGTTTAGCAAGCTTGAGTCCCTTGGTTCAATCCTCAGTAATGGGGGGTGGTGTGGGGGACTGAATCCTGAATTCATCTATGCCCCTTAGAAGCCCATCAAGACTCTTCACGTCACATGAGAGTGGTACCCAGTTGCACGGTCTGAAACATGGAAACATAGCATCAGGATATTTGATTCTGTGACTGCTTCTTCCTGCTTCCCCTGCCTCCCTCATAGTGACAACATGGCTGCCTGATTTCTAGCTTCTCCTTCAGTAGGAGACTGGCTGGTTACTGACAGTTCTGGGACAAACACCATTTCTCAGAAGCCTTATTCAAAGATCAGATTTTTTAGGAACACTAATCTATGAACCATGGTAAGCAGTGAGTAAAAACTCACTGTTCATTAGAAATAATCAAGAACTTCTCCCTCTCCAGTTTACATATATATATTTTTCAAATCTTTTATTTTTTTTTTGATGGTAGTGGGGTTTGAACTCAGGGATTCACACTTGCTAGTCAGGTGCTCTACCACTTAAGCACTATCCCAGCCCATCCTTGTCCCCCTCCCCACCCTTGTTTTGTGGTATGGTAATTGAACTTAGGGCTTTGTGCTTGTTGAGCAGGCACTCTGTTGCTTGAGCTATATCCTCCCGCCATAGGCCTATGTTTTCTTATAAGAGATTTATACTTTTAATTCTTACATTTAGAACTTTTGAGTTATTTTTGTATATGGTGTGGAGTCAAATACACTTTTTTTCCCTTTTTGTTTTTTTGAGACAGGGCGTTGCTATGTAGCCTAGGCTGGCCTCAAATTAGAGATCCTCCTGTCTCAGCCTCCCTAGTTCTGGGATTATACACATATGCCACATGCTTGGTTCAAGAAAGAAATTCTAGACTAGTCCTGCAGTCCTTAACCCACTACTGGCTTAATATGTAGCCTTTGTCATATGCTTAATAACTCTCGGCTTCAACTTCTTTCTCCCTAAAGTGAATTGTGAAGATCAGGGAAATATGGGATAGCAATTCTTAAGTGCTGAATGAATATGTACCATTGACTGGTGTGTGTAAATAAGCTGTTAGCTGTAAGGTAGACAGGCGTAGCAAACATTTCAGGGAGAGCTGTGTGTGGAAATAATGTACCCTCTATCTGGGGAAACCTTAGAGAATAAGCAGAATTCCTGCAATGCCCCTCCATGTGGCCACACACTTCATGTTTTGTTACTGGGGAAACACGTTTTGTGTTAGGCACAGGACTCAAGAGGCTTCACACTCAAGAATCATGGTGGCCTGTGAAAAGGCTGAGTGATAGTTAATTTTGTGTTTGCTTAACTGAGCCATTATTTCTGGGTGTATCAATGAGAATGTTTATTTTTTCCTTTTTAAAAATTTTTTATTAGGATATATTCATTATATGGGGGGCAGATTTACAGTGACAATTCCGATTAGATTTATACTGTACATTATTTACATTGTCCCCAAGAGTGTTTCTTGAAGAGATTAGCTTTTGAGTTGGTAGACTGAGTGAAGCAGGTGTGCACCCTCACCATCGTGGGTAGGCATTATCCAAACCCCTGAAGCCCTCAACTAAAAGAAAGTAAGAGGCTGAATTAATTCCACCTGACTTTTTAGCTAGTACAACCAGTCTCCTGCTTTTGAAGTTGCTGGTTCTCAGACTTTCAGACCAGGTCTATAATCTATACCAACAGATTTCCTAAAGTCTCCAGTTTGCGGGTGACAGATTGTGAACTTCTCAGCCTCTGTAATTGTTAAAAAAGTAAAATTTATAGGTCATTGTTTGGACTGAGTTTCTAAAGTAGGCCCAACAGACTGAACCAAAATGGAGTCACTCAAACTGAAGTTTCATGTTAGCAAGCCAAAGCTAAGTTGATATTCAGAGAAATCAGGAGAGATCATAACCAAATCCCTAAACAGGCCATTTTTAGCTAACATGATTAGAAGTCTCATCTGTTTTCACTTTTGTAAGAAAAGTTACTGTGAAATAACCAATTACCTTTTTGTTTTCTATTATAAAATCAACCTTCTAGGGGCTCTGGGGTGGGGGTAGTTTTCTAGCTTAGTGCTAGAAAACTTGCCCAGAACACCTAAGGCCCTGGGTTCAATCCCAAGCACCAAAAACAAACAAACAAAAAACTGACAGAATGAGATGGTGCAGGATTCTAGACTTAAATAAAGCCAATTAAGATCCATAAACTGAATTTGTTGGTATTTTATCTTTTGACATAATAAATTTCTTGTTTATCTATTATCTTCTAGTGGCTCTGTTTCTCCGTTTCTCTGTTTTTCTTCCCTCCCCTTTCCCCATCTCACCAGTACAGGGCTCTGGCAAGGTACAGCAACTTGTTAAAAAATTCCTATTTCTACAAATGAAATAAAAACACAATTAAAATTTAGTAGGTGCTAAAACTTGGTTTTGAAATTTTATTAAAAAAATATATTTGCAAACATATAAAAATTTAGGATGAAAAATGCTCATTTTAAAACATGTAATAACTTAATATTTGCAAACATACACAGATGGTACAAAATCCATACCATTAAAATGTTAATGATGCAGTATTGCGCTCATGGAACAAAAACCTTGCTGTCACTCCAGAGCTTCTCATCTCCACTTTTCAGGGAGCTGAGAATCCGGTACAATGAAAGTCATGAGAGCCACATGACCAAAGCAGGAATACAGAATAAAAGATCATTTAGAACGCATATTTTAAAAACATATTTTCTAAGGATTCACACAGATAAAAGGGAAACACAATTTTGCATTTTTCCCACTTCAAAGTGATTGATATTGCATTTTAGCATTTTAAAAAAAGATGTCAAATCCAAATCTGAGTGAAACATTGCACACGTTTCTCCTGCTGAAATTTGCTGAAAGCAAAATAGGCTCCTCAAGACCCTAGCCCACTCATGAAAATGTTCTCAAGTGCAGCTTTTAAAAAGCCTAGTGTAAGTTGCTTTGCTCTGTTCAGATCTTAGTATTTTAGATACCTGAAAACACAGGGCGTTGTTGGTTCCATAGAGTACTCTGAATAGTACTGAAGAAAACCAAAGTAGGCAAGAAACACATGCTTCACAGCAAATGTGCAGCAAGGACGTAGGATTGCGCCCGTGATTCCTAGTCCTCCTCACTATGTGGGTGGAGTCCACTTGTGCCTGTGCCACCTCTCACTCCTCTGTGAGTTACAGTATGATGGCTGATTTTATTTTTTAAGCAGTTAGGCACCTTCAATTTCATGTTGCATTATTACTAACATGATGGCAGTTATGGCCTCTACTACCAAAATGAGAAGATTTCAAACTACATTCTTTGGGGGAGGACAGTAATAAAGCTGCATGGTTTAAAAGTATTTACCTAGTAGTGGATTCAACGGGGGTTTATAATTGCCACAAGAAATAGGACGAATGCTGGACATGAGATTCTGGTCAAACATATTTGAAACTAAGCCTGTGCATCTATCCTCCTTCTCTGCCAAGATTTTGACTTAGATTCTTAGTAAACTACACTCTTTTAAGGGAAAGCTGAGGATGTTGCACATGTGGACTACATGAAATGCTTCTCCTGACACTGACAGTCACTTGAAAATTTAGGATTCCAAGTCAAGCAGGCCAACTTTTACATCTCACAAATCCTGAGAGAGATGCAGAACAGAGGGGAACAAGTAGTCTGGGAGGTATCAGGGGTGAGGTGTGGTATGATGAGTATCCATTCAAAGATATCACATTAACTACAACAAAAAGAAGAGCAGCATCACCCACTCTTGACACCCCAGACACACCATAATGCAAGCTCTGAGCTGCTCCTCCCAGAGCCTACACTTGGACTCCAGGGGCAAGGCAGGTGGGTTGGGTACACAGCCTAAATGCAAGTCTTCTGGGGTTCTGCAAAACCTACCAAGAAGCATTCCATCTTGGGTCTATTTCAATTCAACTAAGGTTCCAGTAAAGGACACTAGCATTGTAAACATGCAACCTAAGCTAGCATGAGGTTCTGGATAGCAAGCCTGCATGAGGACTAAGGCAACCAGATTGTGGCTTTCAGGCCAGGGCCATCCAGCTGCAACTATTCAGGCGTGGCTTGGCTCTCTGGGACTCTTCTGGCCTGAACTCCCTGGTAATCACGACATGAGCTTCTGGCTTCGAATCGTAAGTAAATGCTTAGAGTATATACATTTGGGAGTTGAAACAGGTTTACCCTTTTCAAGTCTCCATCACTTGGGCACTTAAATGTTTATGTTCACACTAAGGAAGCCTTACTGTAGATTCTCTTTTACTGTCTATTATATTCATTCTTAGGATTAAAGGGTGAAAATTAACAGACTTGATTATAGACCCTCTTTAGGATATTCCCTCTTTATACTCTCATAATATTCTACATTTTCAAAAGCGTTATTTAAATTTAAATGTCAATTATAACAAGACTCCCTTGATTTGTCTATTTACCGAAGCCCACTGAGACCACACTTGGGGTAATCTTGGTCAAACCTACTGGAGCATTCATTTTATGAGAACAGCCACGTGGTTCCCTTGGACACCACCTCGTGTTGTCAGCAACACTCCTTATTTTACTACTGCTTTATCTTTCCCAGATGATGCACGAGCAGTTCAGTTTTGGTTGCTGAATTTACACACTATCTTTGAAAACAAACAATTCCTTACTGAGTATGAAAACTGATAAGCTTCCCTGAATTCTGCACAATTCACACGTAACTAGGTAGACAGCAATAGAAGAGATTAAATCAAGAAGCAGAAACATTGTCCAGGAAGCATGTTAGATTAATGCAAGCCAATCGAAGTTTGAAAAACTAAGACAAAGTTAAAAAACTAAGACCAAACTAAAAAAGTATGTAATTCATAAGTAATTTTCTAAAATTTCAGCTAGAAAGAAATCTATGGACTTATGATCAAGTTACCATTAAAGCTTAAATGATTGTTCCAGAGGAACCATCACATCTGTCAGCATTATTCACAGCTAATCCTTATGCTAGCTGGTTGAGCCAAGTGGGTTTTTTACCCCGTCATTAAATAGTGCTCAGAAAAGTAAGCAGTGCATCTTAATTGGTTAAATACTACAAAATGACCTGTATCATAGAAACAAAGACACTCATTCAAAGAATATCTTAAAATTACTATTGCTGAAATAAATCAAATTTTACATTAAAATATTACTAAACGTCATTACATGCCATAAAAGAATAAATATAAATCATGGCAGATCAATAGCAGCATAACAAAGCATCTTTACATATTTTCACACTGTGGGCTGCAAAAGTACTCACAGCCTAGGAATACATTGGTAAAGTTCTGAATCTCACACTTTTCTTTTTTAACTCCATATTCTACAACAAAGTAAGGGCAGTGTGAGTAACAGCTCCCTTTTCTGCATAGCTTTAAAACTGTTCTCAGTACACTTGAGGAATGGAACCAGAATGGCTTTGTCAGATTGGTCCACTGGTCCTTTTGTCAAAGTGTTAAGGAAAACAATCAACAATGATTTCTAACTGTGGTTAGACAGAAAAGGAAAATAAGGCTGTGCTTCACACACAAACTTAACATTTTCAAAACCACTGGAGAGTTTAACTTAAAATGGAGATTTCTGGTAGGATTTGGGCATATGCAGCCCCAGCCTCAAAGGTGTGACATATCTTTTCCCACATTAGCCTCACAAGGCCCTGTTCAAACAGCAATGCTGCACTGGAGCTTACCACCATGGCAGGACTGGGACCACTAAAAGCAAAATGCAAAGAAATTTCAGGACTTTTAAGGCCCAAATGGGAGTGTTCATATAAAATACACTTCTCTTTAACAAACAATTTCTAATTTATCAGCTTCAACTCTGATCCTTAAAATTTAAGCTAGTTTGTAGAGCTGACTACTACTTAGTTCAGAGCTTGACTGTCAGCCCACATTTCTAGGCGACTGGAGAGGGGAAAGAGTGTGGGTGAGGCTGAGCTCTGCTGAGCTCTGCTGAGCTCTGCAGCAAGGCTGGTGGCTACTCCTCCCTAAGTCCTTGAAAGTGAAAGCAAGTTGAAAATCAGACTCCTCATTTCACATACTTGCTTACAGCTGATGAAAACACCATATAACACAATGATCTTTTTTGTTGTTGGTTTTGTTTTTTTGTCAAAACAAAGGTCTGCTGGTGATGCTTCACAGTGAAACCTCCATTATCACTGAGAATGTCACTTGGAAAACATTCTTAAGGAGTGAGTCTCTTTCTCATAGGCTCAATTTCAGGATTCTCAAAACTCAATGTTCTATTTAGAAACAAGTTTCCATGATGAAGCCTATTTGTTTTTGAGGTTGCTCCTCTACCTTCAGATTTGCTCCACTCCAGTTATAGGTTGTGGTTGTCTTTGTTCTTGGTCAGAACCTGTAAGTACACTTCATGAAGTGTACTGAGGAAGCTGGAATCATTCTGGAAGAGATGGCAAAGGTAAAAACATGTAATGTTGCATTTACCTCCTAAGAGCTTATTCCTCAATTTATTAACAGTTTAGGAAAAAACTGTATAAATGATTGGTATAACTAATTACAAATCACCCAAATAATCTCACTGCCTGGAGATAATCATGACTGATATCTTGAGTTTACTTAGTTATTATTCCACCAGGAGTGAATGCTGGGAAGAGAACATTACTCCTAGCTAATCTTCTGAATTTACCAGAACTTAAACCTTGTTTTCTTTTATTAAAGAAAAAATTCAAAGACTAAATTGACATCCCAGATACCTTTATTAGATGTATCAATGTATCCTGGAGCTGAGACTTGCTGAGAATAATGGAAGGCTTTCTCTGATTTTCTGGAGTTCCTGCAGTGAGGGGAGAAGGTGAGCTTGCTCTCCTTTCAGGGTCTGTGGGCCGTGGAACGGACTGCTGGAAAACGCTTGGGGACAGCAGGACTGCAGACACTGCTGTTGTTGCTGCAGTGATGAGTGCAGGACCTGCAGCCTGCAGGGGAACAATGGTCATTTTGCACTGAACGTACAAGCCAGCAGCACCCATAGCCCTCTCTCGCTTTTATATTTCACCTTCTCATGTACAGACAGCAAAGAGCTTGCCAGAGCTTTAAGTCTGTGGTCTCTGGTATTTGACCCATTTAGTTTGCTTTTTGGTACAAAACCAGGCTGAGAGCTCTTGTTGATCACCACAGAGCAGGACAAGCAGGCTGGCTTTAATTCTGAGCCTAAAGGAGAGGTATACAGGCTTAAAGGCAAGTGGGAATATGACATGAAAGGAAATGAAAAATAGAATGTGCATTTCAAGGTGTGTGGGTGATGGAGAGTGGGGACAACAGATGCAAAAAGTGAGGTCAGGGCTGGGTTTGGTGGCTCATACCTATAATTCCAGCTACTTAGAAGGTAGAGATAGGGAGGATCAGGGTTCAAGGTCACCCTGAGCAAAAAGTTGGCACGATCCCATCTCAACCAATAAATCTGGCACAGTGGCATATGCTTATAATCTCTGCTATGTGGGAAGTAGAGGTAAGAGGATCGTAGTCCCAGGTCAACCCTGGGTAAAAATGTGAGATCTCATCTGAAAAATAACTAAAGCAACAAGGGCTGCAGGTATGGCTCAAGTGGTAGAACTCAAACAAGTGTGAAGCCTTGAATTCAAAACCTAAGACCCACAGAGAGACAGAGAGAGAGAGAGAGAGAGAGAGAGAGAGAGAGAGAGAGAGAGAGATACAGAGAGGGAGGGAGAGGGGTACAGTATCAGGCCAGGAAAGGATAAACAAGGGACAAAGCAGGCAGGCCTGGGAGGCTTTGTTATCAGTAATGGGAAATGAAGAGGATTGTGGCAGGAGTGGTTCTGTCCCCTGTAACATCACAGCTCTGCCAGGGCACTAAATATTTCCTACTTAGAAAAACCATGCTGACATACTCTCAGCAGTCACCCACTTACAAATGTCCAGTGAAGGCCCACCCAGTGGTTGATCTGACCTCTATACACTCAGGGAAGACATTTACACAGGGATGACATGTGGCTTACTAAGGCCACAGCAATGAACTCTGCCTGGGGAGCAGAGTGGCCCAAGATGGGTCAGGGCTTAGAAGCTAAAACTTTCACTAAGGCAGCAGTATTTTACCTCAGACCCAGCAGAACTTAAATACTGAACATGTCCTTAAGAAGGGCGTGCTTACCGGCATGGCACTGGATAACACCTTAGGCTGGGCAAACACTTCAGGATCCTGGTTTTGCTGCATAGACTGAAATGTTCAATAAGAAAAGATGAATAGAGGTAGGTAGCAAGTTTAAATTAATTACTGGTGAAAAAGCTAGGCTAGAAATAAGGGGTGGTTCAGACATTAGCCAGCTACTAGATCGCTGAGGAGGCAGACAGGAACTGTGACACTGCAACTAATGACTCAACTCTACAATGAGAACGTTGGACAGCACCTCTCTTGAGTTCCCCTGAGAAAACGTAGGCAGTCTTTAAAGTGTCTCAAAAAGAAAGGTGGTGCATGCCTATAATCACTCAGGAGGTGGAGAATGGGAGGATTATAGTTCAAGACCAGCCTGGGCAAAAAGTTAGTGAGACCCCCCACCACTTCAGCCAGTAAGCTGCCTGTGGTGGCACATGCCTGTGATTCCAGCTATGTGGGAGGCATATGTAGGAGGATTTCAGTTTGGGGCCTGCCCCAAGCAAAAGTGCAAGACACTGTATGAAAAATAACTGAGGCAAAAAAGGGCTGGGGGCATGGCTCAAGTGGTAAAGCACCGGCCTAGCAGGTGCAAAACCCTGAAAAAAAACCTGAACAATCAAAAACAACCAAAAAACCCCTCAAACATGTATCTTTTATAAGAGCTGAGGATCAGCTCACATCCATTTTGTTGCTGAATGTGTAGAGGGATCCTGGCAGCTGATGCTTTTTCTTTTTGGCTACAGTGCTGGTACACTCACATATGTATATTTGTGGTGTTGAGGAGCAAACCCAGAGCCTTGTATGGGTGTGTAAACACCTACCACTGAGCAGCATCACTAGCTATAGTTTTCTAAGCTCATCAAATGCTTTCTTATCTTCAGGCCTCTGTATACACTATTCTCCTTGTCTCAAATACTGCTCCCACTCTGGAATGGTCTGGTTAACTTGAGTCTTCACAAAGCAGCTGAAACTAGGAAACTTTGTTTGACCTTCAGATCTGGAATGCTCTTATGGTATCTCCCCAGGTCCTTGGCATGAGGTAGGCACTTGTAAGTGTACTGAAGAAAGTGGTAAAGGACCTAAGCTTGGAGTTATTTGGATCCACGGTCCTGAGACAAGTAAGGCCTTCTAAAACTATCAGGTAAAAATGAGGACCCTAACATGCATACCTGGATAGGAAAATATTAAAAAATATAAATATGGTTTCTTAGCTTTTATCAGGTGAAAGAATTCTGGGAAGCAGAATTGAGCTATGACACCAGTTACCAATCAAGACTAGTACACACAGGGCTTCTTATCGCCCCTTTCTCCTAGCCCCTGATATACTTCATTGTTTTTTTGAGACAGGATCATCTTGTTGAGTAGCTTAGGTTAGCCTTGAACTCATAATCCTTCAGCCTCCTGAGTGCTGGGATTACAGAACTATGCCACTAAAGACCCTGACATACTTTACACAGATAACTCTTTTTAAAAACTACTCTGTCTCATGTTAATCAACACCAAGGTCTTTGTTGTTTCATCCAACCCACACCCTCCTGCTCCTACCACTACCTGAAGGGGAGCAAGCACCACGTTGCTCAGGGAGGCTGAGGCCGCTGCTCTTGCTGCTGCTGTCTTAGAGGGAGGCTCTATGAAACTGTCAGGTGTGGCCAGCTGGCCAGCTGCTGAAGAAAAGCTGGGTGCCACTGCACCTTTCCCAAGTGGCTGTGTCTGTATTTGGTCATGCTGTGGGGTCAACCTGAGTTTCTGGAGAAGATCCACACATGGGAGGGACGTGCCAGCTGTGTTTGTCAAGCTCAGTGAGGCTCTGAAGGGGTTCTGGCTGGCAATCAGACTGGCGTGGCTTAGCTCATGGACTGGCTGGTTCAGGAGTGGAGACCTCTGTCTAGGCGTGGCCTTCACTGCCTGCATTATGGTGCTGTTTCGAGGTAAGCTGGGGGGAACCTGTGTGGTGGGAACTTCTGCTGGTAGAGTCGGACTGAGAACAGGGCTCAATGGGATACTGTAGCTTGGGGCATGCTTTTCACTAGACTGTGTGATGGAGGCTGGAGTGATTAGCACCGGGGTAGTGACCTCAGGTTGGACTGTGTGGTGGGTAGCTGAATGGACACTCAGGTTTTCTGACTGAGGGGCTCCTCCTGATTGCTCAAAGGAAAATGGGAGGAATGAGCTGGGCTCTTTCTGGGATGCATCTCCTGGAAGCTTTTCTACTTCCTCTGGATCCAGACCCACAACTGCTGGCTGTTCCTTTGGCAAAGAGGTTCCAAATAATTCTTCCACCGTCAGATGTTTGTGTCCAGATGAAGCAGACTGCAAAAGAAATCAAACCATCCAATGAAAGAAATCTCTGGAAACCTATGCAACCAAACTTCTTTTCCATCAACCAAAGCAGTCTGCAGACGCAAGTACAGATGGAGTCTGGAAATAAGGAATAGAGCAAACTGACAATGTACTAGGGGTTAAGACCAGGTATACCTAGTCTCTCCAGATTGGTAGATAGAAATCTGCATTACTAATAAATTTAAATTTTTGGATTCCAGATAATAGTGTTAGAATTTACCTTTATTTCTTGGCAAATGTATGTAAGGTGAAGGGATAATCTCACCTTATTACAAAGCTAACTGTGCCTAATTGCCCCATAGCAGTAACACACATAAGGAAATGATTCTAGAGAGAACAAAGGGTACTCGAGAGACCAGATTCTGATCAAGTGATTTATTTTTACTGTTCTTGATAAAAACCTAGCACTGCAACTCAGGGATTGGGTCCTAAATACCAGAAAAAAAATCCAACCATTTAATAGCAGGCACTGTGCTATGACTGTGAGGTGGGAAAAGAGGTGAGGACAACTGGTGACATGGGCTGCTAGGTCCCACAGAGGGAAAGAGGCACCCAGAAGGCGGCCCTTAAGCTGAGAGGAGAGATGAAGGAAGCCAGCTGGAGAGGCTGGGTGGAAGAAGTGATGAAGGAAGAGAAAAACACTGTTCATACTGTATTGTGTCTGAGACACACTGGGAATCTGGATTTTACCCATAGGGCCCTGGGACAAGTTCAGGGAAGGAGCCATTTAGCTTTTACTGTAAGATGTACACTTTGGTGGCCATACAAAGGATAGATTGGAAAGGTGAGATTGAGCAGAGTCTTGACTAAGTCCTGGCAGAGAAGTCAGAATGACAGGAATCAGTGGCTGGATAGCCAGTAGAGTGGAGCCAAGAACACCCTGGTATCTGGATGGTGGTGTCACTTCACTGCTTGGGCAGGCAAGCCCAGAAAAGGTCTCCAGAGGGGTGGTGGGGAGGGGAAGCTGAGGTAAAATCTGAACACAACTGAGGTCTCTGTGGGACACCTGAAACCTACAGGCATGGATTTGGAAGTTATTAAAAGTGTTAATACAAAGGCTGGGGATGTAGCTCGGTAGTAAAGCACTTGTCTAGCATGTGCAAGGCTCTGGGTTTGATCCCTAGCACCACCAAAAAAAGTGTTAATGCATGTCCAGGGAGCCTAGGCATTCTACTTCTTCGGGAGGTTATAGGGACAAGGCCTCAGCACCCTGCCAACCAGCAAGGGCCTCTAGCAGCACTGCTGCTGCCTGGCTCTGTTTCTTTCTAGCTGTCCAGCTAGCGCATTCATTCATTTCTCTGAGTCTCAGTAGAGTAGGGAAGTCTGGTGAAGTTGGAAATGTATACAGCCTAGCACATAGGAAGTGCCTCTTTAACGTCAGCATTCCTAATAACAGCAGTATAGAAAGTAAATTCTTCCAAGGCACGTTTTTTTTTTTTCATTTATTCCCTAATTTACCTTGCCCTTCTCATGGAACTACCACCTAGTACCAAAGACTCAGTAAGTACGTAGTAGAGACTCAACAATGCTCTCTCCCCAAGTCCTCCCAGGAGGGCATGCAGTGGGCCCTGTGGGGGGAGGGCAAAGGATTCCCTCTATCAAGGGAAAGACCAGTATCTGGGATTGATGGTGCAGGGGAGTTTGCATGTAGTTAAGGGAGTGCCATTTTATACTTTCTCTCAGGTGTGAGACCCCATGTCAATTATTAAGCTGGGTATGGTGGTACACTCCTGTGGTTTCAGCTATGTGGGAGATCACAGGCAGTGGGATTGCAGTCTGAGGCCAGCCTGGTGCAAAACACATGAGACTCTACCAGAAAAATAACTAAAGCTAAAAAAAAAAAGGGCCGCAAGCACGACTCAAGTGGTAGAGTGCTTGCCTAGGAAGCATGAGGCCCTGAGTTCAATCACAGTACTGGAAAAAAAAAAAAGAGAAAGGAATTATATAATATTCAGGCACCCACTAATAATGCTATAGTAACAGTGGTAAGATGACCTGTCACAACATTTCCTAGCACTTTAAAAAAAGGAACTTTCTAAGCTTAGGACCTCACATTAGATATAAGGCAACACTGACATCAATTTATAAACTATGGATATAAAAAAATGCTAAGGATTTTATATGGGCCAATTTCCTCATATTTTTGCTTCAGAAAAAACTGTAGAGTTCAGGGTTTGAAATCAATTATTTCACAGAACTGTTGTAAAAATGTAATTCTCAGTATGTTCGGTGCCCAACAAGCACTTCATAAATTGACTTATTATTACCACAACCATCATACAGGTTTTTTTTTTTTTTTTTTTGGCGCTGGGAGATCAAATCCAGGGTCTCAGGTATGCTAGGTAATCTACATTCCCAGCCCAAGCATACCACCTTTTGTTGTTGTTTTTTTGGGGCAGTATTAGGGTTTGAATCCTGGGCCTTATGCTTTGTACCAAGGTGCTCTACAACTTGAGCCACTTCACCAGTCATTTTTGTTTTGGGTATTTAGAGATACTTGCCTGGGCTGGCTTCAAGCTGTGATCCTATTGATCTCTGCCTCCTAAGAAGCTAGGATTACAGGTGTGAGCCACCCGGTCAAACATACTATCTTAAGAGCAATCATGACGAATATGTTTGGATACTTTTTAAGGAATACTTTTTAGGTAAAATCTTGGAATAGTAAAAAATCTATAAAATACTTCTGCAATATCATATCCCCATAATGCAAAATCATATCACAATCACCTAAGGGGACACCAAGGCTGTGCTATTCTAAACCAACTTGTTATTCCCTGAAGAAAGGAATAATTAAGAACATTGCTTTTTGTTTAAAACTCCCTGGTAACATTTCACATTCACTCAAGGTAAGTAAAAATAGACAATGATTTCCTCTCTGGGATATAATTTTCAGTCTAGGACACATTACTGTAGTCAAGTGCACAGATTCCATTTGCTACCCTCAACATTGTGACTTAATTACTTTTAGATCCTGGTATCATAAATGTCTATTGATGGCAGAGATAATTTCTTTCTCCTCCCCCACCCTCCTTAAAAAAACCATGGTTGGACCCTTTTTTTACCAAAATGGCACTGAAAGGGAAGAAGGAAGCTCCTGTCCCTCCCAAAACCTAAGCCTGAGCAAAGGCTGTGAAGGCCAAGAAGGTAGTACTGAAAGGTGTCCATATCCACAAAAAGAAGATATGCATGTCACCCACCTTCCTGTGGCCTGATATGATGCAGCTCCAGAGGTTGCTCAACTACCCTCAAAAAATACCCCCCAGAAGATGCAAGCCTCACTACGTCATCATCACCTTCCCTGTGACTACTAAATCAGTCATGAAGAAGACAGAAAATACACTGTGTTCATTGTGGATGTCAAGTCAACAAGATGTGAGGAACCCTTATGACACTGATGTGGCTAAGGTCAATACTTTGATCAGGCCGGCCGGATGGAGAGAAGGCATGTTTGGCTCCTGATTATGATGCTTTGGATGTTGTCAACAAAACTGGAATTATCTAAACTGAGTCTTACTGGCTAATTCTAATATATATTTTTTCATCATTAAAAACAACTCCCTAAACCTCCCCGCCCCCCAAAAAAGCAAAACCGACAACTGTGATAGAGCTGGGCACAGTGGCATCTGTGTATAATCCCACCTACTTGGAAGGCTGAGGTAGGAGGTTCACTTGAACCCAGGAGTTTGAGGCCAGAATGGGCAACACAGCAAGACCCCATCTCCAAAAAAAAAAAAAAAAAAGTTGCATAACCATCACCACTATCCAATTCTAGAACTTTCCCATCATCCCAAACAAATATTTTGTTCCCTTTAAATAATACCTTCCTATTTCCCCTCCCGACCCTCCTCAGTCCCTGGTAACCTCTGTTCTATTTTCTATTTATATGATTTTGCTGATTTGCCTAGGTACCTCATAAAGTAAATGATATATTATTTATCCTTTTGTGACTAGTTTATTTCATTTAGCATGTTTTCAAGGTTCATCCATGTTGTACCATATGGGAGAATTTCATTGGCTAGTAGTATTCTACTACTAAGCTACACCCCCAGCCCGAGTTTAACTTTCTGAGGAACTGCCAAACTGTTTCCATAGTGGTTGCATATTCTATTGACACCAACAATCCAAGAAGTTTACAATTTTTCCACATCTTTCCTAATACTTGTAAATTTCATTTATTGATATTAGCAATCCTAATGGGAATGAAGTAGTATCTCATTGTGCTTTGGATGTCCCTATTGAGCAATTTTTCACGTTATTTACTGGTCATTTGTGTAGCTCATTTGGAGAAATGTCTTATGGGTTTCTTTTCTCCTTTTTCTTTTCTGGTGTTGGGAGTCAATCCCATAGCCTCAAACATGCCAGGCAAGCACTTTACCACTGAACTACATCTTCAATCCTGGAGATGTCTATTTGTGTCTTTTGTTCATTTTTGAACTGGGAAAATTTTCTTTTTTTCCTGAGAAACTGGGGATTAGACCCAGAGACTTGTGCATGCTAAGCAAGACTCTCCATCTAGCTGAAATCTAGCCACCTCCCACTGTCTTTTTTTAAGACATGATCTCATTCTAGGCTGGCCTCCTCTAACTCTTGATTTTTCTTCCTCACCCTTCTTCTTTTTTCCAGTACTGAGGTTTGAACTCATGGCTTACACCTTTAGCCACTCTACCAACTGTTTTTTGTGATACGTATTTTTGAGATAGGGTCTCTCAAACTATTTTCCTGGGCCAGCTTTGAACTGTGATCTTCCTGATCTCTGCCTCCTGAGTAGCTAGGATTACAGGCATGAGCCACCAGTGCCTGGCTCTTCCTCAACCTTCTGAGTGCTTCGATTACAGGCATGTGATATTATGCCCAACAAATTTCTTTATATACCAACTATGTTTAGAATAAAAGGGGCCAACACTGTTTGACAAAAAAAAGTCCTGGAAAACAACCCTAATTATAGTGTTCTAATTATAATTATAATTAGA